ATACTACAAGTTGATGAAAACTACAAGCCTTTTTTTTTTTTTGAAGTGGAAGTTATGATTGATCAAAGTTAAGATTTTTCAAGTTGCTGAAAATCCAAGCACTTAGAATTTTTTCTAAGTTTTTCACCTTGTCAAGTGCATGACTTTGTGTACACTGTGTGATCAATTTAAGCCACCATTTTTCATGCCCAAGGGATGTATTTAAAGATGACATTTCATACTTCAACAATGGGGAAGAATTGAATCAAAAGCTCACAAGGATTGGAAGTTATAGATGATCAAAGTTGAGATTTTCAAGTTGAGGAAATTGCCAAATACTTATATATTTTTCAAAGTGTCAAACGGTTGAAAATCTATTTTTGATGATCAGTTTTCTTAATGATGCAAGTTGATTTTCTTCACGTGTTCAACATGAAAGTTGTAGTATGCGATGTCTTCTTTCCAATGGTACCAAGAGTATAAATTTATTTTGCTTGAGCATGAAGTTTTGAAGAGGAGAAGTAGCCATGGCAGAGCTGATTGTTCAAACCAAATTTTTTTCTAAGTACTAGGTAGATTTGGTTACACGAATTTGGGGCCACTTTTGGGCACTTTCCAACCACTTTCTCAGCATGTGATTAACTGGAAACTTATAGTATCATATGAGATCTTCACATTGATATAAAATTCTACATCATTTGATCTTTATGCACCATGAAAAACCTTGATCCAACATGCTAACATGAATTGATTTTTGGGTAATGCTTCAATGTTGCTTTAATCATGTTGACTTGTTTGTAAAGGTAAGAACTTGATCCTAATATCAGATGGAGTTGGTACAAGCGAAATATCATGTAAGGCAAAGTCAATTAGGTGCTACTAAAGTGAAATCCACTTTGGTACTTTTAACCACTTTTATGGTTTTCCTCCAAAGTTCATCAAACAAAGCCATTATCTATTGCATCTTCTTCAGATCATTCCACTATAAATAGAGGCCTTGATTCATCAAAAAATACACACAAATTTTTTTTCAAGAACTTCAGAGTCACCATTTCTCCATTTTCTTAAAATTTCAAAGTTCCTAAAAAATTAAAACTTGTGAATTCTCATTTCTCTCAACCAAACTTCATTCCAACACCACAAACACCTTCCATAAGCATCATAGAAATGTTCCAAACCATTAAAACACTTCTGTAACAACCCAAACACCGTATCTATTTCTCATTTTTCTTCACTTGCAAGTTGATTTGGATAAAGAGATTCATAAGGTTTTCAAGCAAGCTAAGCATCCCAACACGTTCTTTGGAGGTAAAGGAAGCTGTAGGGATCATCACATTACATCTGAAAGTGCTCTAGAGTCAAATACGATTTCACATTTTTGAGGTAAGTTGGCATTTTTCGAACTCTCTCTTTAAGACATCATTTCAATCATTTCTTGATATCATTTTGCTTACTTTAACATGTTGAGTGAAACCCCTATAAAATGGATATTGGTTGATTGTGTATGGAATTTAATTTAATTTTGAAAATTTAGGGTTTATCTGATTTTGTCTAAAATTCGTGAGTTTGAGATAAGAATGAATAAAAACTAATTATATATTTGAATTCCTTGTTAAATGAGTCTGATTTTGTCTGATTTAGTACTTGTATGAGAAAGTTACATTTTTATGAAAAATGAGTCTGTTGTTTACACAGATTTGTTCGAGTAACATCTATTAATAAAATGTGTTATTGTGAATGGGTATAAATAACAACTATAAAGAAAAAATTCTATTGTAAAAAGGTATGAATAATACTTATAAATAGTGATGACTTGATGGGAGTCAGATATGATAATTGAATAAAGATTTCTATTTCCGCCTTAATAGTTTCTCTACCAAATAACCATCTAGAAAGAGTTTTGAGAAAATACAAATTAGAAAGGGATAGATTGAGTATGAACGAATTAAAATTGTATTTATTCATCATCATTAGAACAAGGTACACATTTTAATGTCTTTATTTTTGTAAGAATCATATATTCGAAGATTCATATAATGATCATAATTTAATGAGTTGTGTAGAATGAATGAAATTTTACTTACAACAAGCCCTAATTTTTGAAACTGGATCTAATTTAATTATTCAATTAAATAATTTCTTTCAACATATTGAATAATATTAGTTTGTGATATAAAAGTTAACGTGCAGGAAAACTTTTTTTAATTACAAATTCGCCCAACACATTAAAAGATGTAATTAAAAAAGAGAGTTATTTAAAAAAAAATGAATGTACTAATTTGTTAGTACCTCGAACTAATAGAGAAATAATTTAGAGAATAGACGTAATTATTAAATATGAAGAAATAAAAGATTCCGAAAGACCCAATAATTTTTATTATCTAATAAATTTCCTTTATTTTATTTTCTTATCTGTTAATTAAATTCTTATGAAAACCTCAGATTAATATATAATAGTATTGTTTAGTTGAAATTGATTTAAAACATTTTTAAAATTATTCATCACTTATGCATTGGAAGGCAAAATAATGCTGCTACTTTTGAGTTAACACACTCAAGAACATCATAAAAGTGATAAATGAGTTTTTGACCATAACTTATGTAATGCAAGGTACTAATGCAGATAGTTTGTGCATGATTGAAGGATGAAAGATATTATGTGATACAAAGTATTAATGTATAAAGATAATGTGTGATTATCATATATATAATCTTTATAAATTGATCTAGGATTAATATCTAAAGATTATTTTTTTATTTTTGCATGTTTTTCTTTTATATTAGACTCATTATTATAATCTTGTCTTCTTATGTTACTAATATCAAGTTCAATAATATTTATCTCTTTTACAATTACATCAAAAAGACATTTTTTAATTGTATCATTTACTTCTAAAAATTCAAAAAAAATATTCAAAAATTTGTATTGAACTATAATAAATATTGATTCATCATAAGACAAAAATCATTTGCTCTTGATGACTTATATCAGGAGTGCAGTCAAGTATAATTGAAAAATACTTTGCATTTTTTATTTTTTGAAAAAATTTTGTTTTGATTTCAGTTGCTCTTAATGGCTTATATAAGGTAATGATTATGAATTTCTTTATCTTTAATTCGACGAATACGTTCTTTTATTATAGGATCAAATTCAGCAATTATTTCAATAAGACTTAAGAATTTTCCATTATGTTTTTGGTAAACATTTTCATTTGTTCTGGGAAAGGTTAAGTTTTTTCCCATGAGTTTTAACAACTGCAATTATTCTAAATAAAACATTTCTCCAATGTTCTCTATCTTTATTTATTTGTTCTTGAACATGTATGTCAATTGTCTTATTTTTTTGACAATCTTGTTTCTAGATCAACCTATGAACTCATATTAACGATGTGTTCGTTAGTCATCTCATGACTCCTCAACTTAAAACTCAAAATTTTCTAATCCTTAATACCACAACTTGCTAATTTGCTTGTACTAGAAAGAGTATTAAACAATTTACAACAAAAACAAAATACTTTATCCAAATCTTTAGAATATATTAACTATCTTCTTTCACGCTTTTTTCCGTTGGATAATTTTTTTAATATAAAATGAGGAAGTAAAATGTCTTGAGGATTAATCTTTAGGAAAATCTATATCAACAACTTTAAGGGGGCATTTTTCTACTATTAAATCTCTCAAATTTGCATTAATATTTGCCCATTGACTTGAATCACGTATATTTTTAGCCGTGTCTACACTATCAAGTTCTTCTATTAATAAATTATTATTTGTATTTTCATCATTATCAAAGTTGTTAACTAACTTAACTTCATCTACATTGTTAAGTTCTTCTACTAAATCTATATTTTCATTTTCGTGCACCTCTACGATGTTAACTTCTACATTGTTAGTAACTTGTTCATTCAATGAATAATCACCTAAATTTTCAAATTTACTTTTTTATTTGTTTTGATAAATTTATCTAAAGTTTCCTTTTGCGATTCAACTAAAGATTCAATTCTTTTTTTTCTCTTCAATTTTAAAACTTCTAAGAGTTGACATTATTCTATTCTAAAATAAAATAATAAATATTTTGCAGTATTACTAATATAAAATAAATACAATTCCCTAATAATAAAATAAAAACATATAAAATGATTAAAAATAATAATTAAATATTAAATAAATAAAACATATTTTTTGAGATGACTTTGTTGTTCTTTTCTTTTATCTCTTTCTTTTTAATTATTTTTATAATATTTGCAAGAGACATAAATGTGTGAGAGATGTTAGAAGCAAGACTAAAGTGATGAATAGATTAGAGAGAAAGAGAGAAAAAAACAAAGACTTGAGAATTTTGTGGTTGTAGAATTCCTTTGAGTTTGAGAGAGAGAATAAAATTGAAAAATTGTTGCTATTTAAAAGACTTTTATGTGTGATCCTACTATTAATGAAAATAAAAAATTACAACTAGTATTAATTAATTATACCTTCTTAAATTAATTGTAACAATAATAATTATAATACCTATAATTTACTTGTAAAAAAAACTAACCTTAACCTATAGCCCATTATGAATTGTAATAGTCATAATAATAAGTGCTACTGTTAATTCTAATAGCTACAATTTGCCATAATAGCCTATACTTATTAAAAAAAAAATTTTAGAAGCCTCAGGCATATGCCTCACCTGCCTTGCCGGGTCTGGCATGATAGAAGGATGAAGGTGTTCTCATAATGCATGCATGGTTCATATCATGTGAAGTAAATTCAAGAGCCTATGCATTCAACTTTTCAAGACCAAATGAACTACTGAGTTCAATACAAGCTTCTCTGATTTCCAAGACCTAGAGTTGTTAAAATTCAATTCTATATAGATTATATATAGTTATCTCTCAATCTGTACATAGAGAAAAGAACATTAAATTTATAATGTTAAGAGAAATTAAGAAGCTACAAATTAAGGACCATATATATATTTATATAGCTATAGTTAGCTTTAGGTGGGGAAGGTTGTATTTGGCACATGCCACTGCATGCTATTCTTGACGAGGGCGCGCCAACCAGAGAGAACTCAACGCGCGCATGCGATGGAAGTACTCCGCCATAGCAACAAAACATCTTGCTGCTTGTCGCGTCGTTAGGATCTGATTCAGACGATGAATGGTTTGGTGTCGTAGGTTATCCGCCTGTAAGTTCAATTCAAATCTCAATCATGTTATTTTCTTCTATTGTCAAATTTATGTTATTTGACAACATGTATATGCTTCAAGATTCAACTGAAAAAAAAAGGTTGGAAAGGAAACTAGAACAAGGCATCTTTTCTCTTAATTTCTACCTTTGAAACTCCAACCATTGGGTTTCTAGAGTCAAATTTGGGCCATCTATAACATTAACACTCTTCATATATAGAAAAGTAGACTAGTACAAGTTTTTTCAAAACCTTGTTAATTAGTAATATATATAGACTATAAGACTATACTATTATGTATTATTTCCAAAGAATGTGTGTGTGACTATTGCTCAATATACAACAAGAACAAATACTACAAATTGGTCAAAACTAAAGACTAGATGAGGTTATAGAGGAGTAAGAAAAATGTTTACTTGTGCCACTAATATTCATAAACACTATAATTACTTTTTTGTAGTCAAAATTCAAAAAGGAGTGGTTATGGGGAAAGGTCTATAAATGGTGTCTTCAAGTCAAACGGTTATGACCATGACATCACATTAGATATGGGGCTAGTAAATCGGTGTAGGACCACTGATTTCAAATGTCACGTGTATAGGATACACACTACCAACTTTACACATTCATCAATATCAATAAAATGGTCATTATAATAACATAATAACATCCTCATAAATATGAGTAATTCAAGTATTTTAATTAGTCAAAGTATATGGTCATGTATTATGTACCTCTCTAACAAAACTTTCAAGAGTGGAAAGCTTGTTCATGGCCCTAGCCAATTGTTCCATGTAGTTAGTCATATTTGGAGGATAGCTCAATGACTCTGATGTTATAGTTTCTGAAATAGATTGATTGAAAGCTTCAAGTCCTTGTGAGAGAGCATCTTCACCCTCTTGTATAGATTGTTGCAATCCGTATATACTCATTATTTGTTGCTCGGTTACAGGCTCAATTTGACTCACAATAATCTAAAAAATAGACATAAAATTAAATTAATATAATCTTCAACTTACATTATGGGCATATCATAAATGTTAAGTATGGTTGTCAAATCATGGAATTCAATGATTTGTGACTAATTAGAGTTTGTTTATTATGATTAACTACAATACAAATACAAAAGAGACATAGGTATGGAACTTGTGTTTTGCTACTTTTTCTTTACTAAATTTCTTAATCATTCTTCATTTCCACGCAAGAATATTTGGGCTAAAGGTATGGATTTATGGAGATGAAGTCTAACTCTACCATACATTATGGTTATCTTTCATCTTTTCATTGATTACATTAAATGTTTGAGTTTATAACATCATCAACTTCACCTTTTGAAATGCTTAAACGTTACACCAATGATTCCATCCCTATTCTCCACATCAAAGTTATCATAAAAAAAAAACTCAACTAAAATAAAGCATATGCTAAATTCAATAACTTGTATTTTGTCATCTAGTTGTTGCATAAATGTTGAGTCATCATGACATGACATGAATGAACTGAACCATTGGTTACCTTGATGAGTTCAGAAGGCTTGAATCCACCAATCCACAAGAAGCAACGTTCGGCCGGGGTCACCCACATGCCAGAAACAAGATGGAATATGTCTGATTTTGCAACTAAGCTCTTAAGATGCATTAGTTGATCATACTGTGCCAAGAATTTGTCCACAAACATTCTAAGCTCATCCTCATGAATGTGCTCTTGAACCGCCGCTCTTAGTTCGCATACTAATCGGTGGTGCTCCTCTAGCCATCTTGCATATTCCACATCAAACATTGCAGCCTCTAAAAATTATATCGAGAAATTTAATTATATAAGAGATTAGATTAGTTAAACATGCATTGTGAGGGAAGATATAAACCTGAGCTAATGCTATTCATTGAAATAGGAAGGTTTTGTTGTTCTCCTCCCAAAACTGCACCTCCACCAAAGAACATGCCCTAAAAGAGAATCATGCAATTGAAGTTTGGGTTCAGAAAAAAATGATTTTGAATTTCTTTTGATCATAGAATCTTACTTGATTTCTTGCACGCTGTAACTCTTGTTCCATTTGACTAAGCCTGATTCTGCTTGACTCAAGCTGCTGAATATATGCCTGTGAAAGAGAAATAAAGAAAGATGCCATTGATAAAAGTGTAAAAAACTCAACACAAATATGGAAATTCATTATCTTGTTGCGGATTTATCTACCTTTTTTCTCAACCTGCTTTTTCTAGCTGCTTCTCTATTCTGAGCAAGTCTCCTCAGTGTCTGTGCAATGCATAACATTTTATGAACACATAAACCAGAAAAAAAAAATAGTAACAAGATTGAAAAAAAAAAGAGAGTTGTAGTAACCTTGGGATCTGGTGTTTTAGGTCCTTCATGTTCAGAACTTGAAGTTGGACCCTTGCCATGATTTCTCTCTGGCTGCTATACGGTAGGTGATTACTTAGATAAACAAAATGATTATAATAGTAACAATAATTGATATCAGTAGCTTAATAATTTAGCTCAAAGATGCTACCAACTTTTATTCTTGTTCTTTTCCATATAATTTAACATATAGACATATATTTGTTTAATATATTGATTTTGAATACATACCTTGACAATTTTGGATGGTTCAGAGACAGATACGACTTGTTTCGGTAAGTCGAGTTTTCTTGATCCAGTTGTTTCCTGAGAAAGTAACTCCATGTTAGCCTATAAATAAATACCAAAAACTTGTTAATCAAGTGTAACAAAATGAAAGAGAATTAGTACTAGTGTAACACAATTGATAGTGATACCTTTGAATTGGATGATGATGGGTCTACGTGCATAGGCTGAGAAGGAAAAATGTTAAGAGTTGGTGGCCTCATTCCAGATGTTGAATTCTCTGCAGAAACACACAAAAATCCACAACAAGAGTGAGTTAGGTGCAAAGAAACAAGACAAGTGTGAGCGATATATAATGAAAATGTGTATTAAATTTTTTTTTTTTGGTTTTTTGTGCAGAAAGGATCTGGTCAAAGGTAGTACTACTGTTCTCAGATATGATTCTGATGTACATGCTTTTGGTGTGAGGCATGAAGATTCTCTATAACAAACTAAAAGTGAAAGAAAAAGAGACCCTCTTTTTGAATTTGAAGCTTACGTTTTTGGTCTTGAATACTTGATGGGTCTGTTTGTTCATTAAGATAGAGAAAAAGTGCTTGATCCAATTCACCCAAATCATAAGCTGAATCTTTATTTCTGCCATCACATAAACAAACAAAAAGTAAAACACAATCAATGGTTCATCTTGATATATAGACATATACATGAAAGAAACTCACATGAAGTTTCCAGGGAGAGAGGTTGATGAAGAAGATTGCATCATTCCAAATGAAATTTGATTATCTTGATGATGATGCTGATGATGGTGATGATGTGGTGATGGTGGGAGTGGTTCTAGTTGAGTAGTGGTTTGGTTTGGTTTTTCAACACTTGAAGCCATATATATAACAAAAAGAAACAAACAACCTAAACACTTTGTCTCTTTGTTCTTGTTTCGTAAGCTTCATGAACTATGAAACCGCCTTTTGTTTCTTCTACTTAAAATCATTTTCATTTTTCCACGGAAAATCAGAGAGAGTCGGTTATGTAGTTATAGTTATAATCCAAGAGATATAACTACAAAGATAAGAGAGAGAGATTGAATTCAATGCAAAGAAGTACTAAAAGACAAGATTTCATTTCCTATTATTACTCCTTTTTTGCTACTTTCTCTCTCATATATATATGGCACTCAAAATTAGATGATTTTCTGCAAACATAAAAACTTTATTTTCTCATGATAAAGCGGTCCTCTTCACGAAAAACCATAGAAGAAGAACAAGAGAATATGTTTTTGTTGTGTTTTCTTAGAGTGGAAAAAGAATAGAGTTTGAATTGTTGGATTGAAAATAACTTAATAAAAGGTTTCTTGTGTAGCCTTCTTATTATTCTAGAGTGAAATGACAAAAATGCCATCTTTTTTTTCAACTTATTGGCATTTTATTTCATGCAAACTTACACGTAGATAGATCATTGATGCTTCTTCTTATTTTCCAAGAATATTAGCAAAAGTCAATCACATATTATCTCTATTTTTTATTATATGTCATTTTACCATATATTTACGATATATTTAAATACAAATGAGTATTAATATTTAAATATTTTAGAGCTATGGAAAATAGTAGGAAGTCATTCCCCATTCCCCATAAAATTTTACAATGTATAATACAACAAAACTAACCATAGATGCATACATTAAGTAAAAAACTATTAAATAAGACAGACACAACTGACTCAACGCTGACTTTGATACCACTTAATGTAACACCCTCTTTCTATACTTTCAATAATAATAAAAAAAATAATTAAATCATTTAGGCACTAGGTAAAAGTTTCATCAGAGTTTAATTAATACATGATATAAAAGAGGTGTGTCACATTATCATGAAGTCAAACATCTACAACACCTGCTCAAATGGATATGCAACAATGGGCAATTCACAACTGAAGAACATAGTTCTAAAACTCACACCTCAATATTTAGAATAAAGCGGAAACTTCTAAACATTGAATCAATGCATTCTTATAAACATATATACATCATTCAATTAATTCATATGTACAACATCCATTATCAGATACATACGCAGATGTATCACAAAAGAAAATCAAAGCAAAGTATCTCCAAAAAGAACCAAAGGCTTCCTAACTACCCAGATGTTACATATCAGAGCCATCGACCAAAAATAATGAAGATCTGCTTCACAAAAAGGACCTCCAGCAATCCTACTCTGCAATGCCTCATAGAGCATCATAAAACAGCAGAAGGGTGAGAAACAATATCATAACAGTCAATACATATATTTATTTATATATATATATATATATATATATATATATATATATATATATATATATATATATATATATATATATATATATATATATATATATATATATATATATATATACACACATACATAAGATTAATACTATTCAGATTCTCATCACAATTCATCATATACCTCGCAATGCATATTCACACAATCAAGCACAATCATCAAATCATACATCTATACACACTCATCATTTCCACATAAACATCTAGAATTATGTTCAATTCACTTCATGCATCATATAAAGATGACTAATGCAACCCATAGAGACCGACTCACGACTCTATGCAGATGCAAATGCGGTACCGACTCAATTCAGCAGATTCTCCAAGGAATCAAGTATTCAGCAGATTCTCCAAGGAATCAAATATTCATCAGATTCTCCAAGGAATCGAATATTCAGCAGATTCTCCAAGGAATCAAATACTCTGCAGATTCTCCGAGGAATCAAATGTTCAGCAGATTCTCTAAGGAATCAACATCGCTAGGATGTACATCATGATGCCTTTATGCAAAATGACTCACAACATTACTCTACATGCATACATATTCGCAAATATATCACTATGCATATTCACAATATACTTACACTCCATAAAACACACATACTCTTCATTTCAACACATACCATTCCATATAAGGCATATATTTTTTTTTCACAATCAAAGTTCCACATTCTAGGATTCACGCCTTGCGGCTACCCATACATATCATACCACACGACACACAAAACTATTCAATTCGATAAGGATTACACATAACTAAACAAAGAAATCCGCATGAAAAGGGAAAACACAGAAAATAGGAAAATGTTGTTACATTGGCCAACCTTCGCCTGACGAAGCCTCTGGCGAACCTTCGCTACCTAGTTCGCCGGGCGAACTTTCCAGCGAAGACCACTGGGATTTATTCTGGAATTACTCGCTAGCACTCGCCTGCACACTCGCCTGGTGAACCTTCGCCACACTCCTTCGCCTGGCGAACTTGCCAACGAAGACAAGGTGGATGCTTCTGACTTAGTTCGCTGCCGTTCGCTGGGCTTCGTCCGGCGAAGCTTCGCTGCAGTTCGCCTGGCGAGCCTGCGAACTCAGAACTTCCATAGCTGTCCAAAGCTCAAACCTCACAAACCGACCGATTCTAAAACCCAACAACCCCAGTAAGTTCAACCCAATAACACTCGACTATCCTACTCCATTCATTCTCGATTCTAACCGGTTAAAACTACGTTCTACCGATTAAATCCTAATGTTGCCCTAAGATGGAAATGAGTAGAAACTCTTCTCAATCCATCATCAAACGATCAACAGCATACATAATCATACACATTAACAGTATAATAGAGTTTCACACCCTTACCCGATTGATCGAAAGCTTGGATGTTGATCTTTGATGAAATCCTAGGTTTTCCTCTCCTTTCTCCTCTTTCTCTTCTCTCTTCTTTCCTTCCCTTGTTTTTCCACTAATGTTTCTATCTATTCCTTTTTTTTCTCTCTTATCTCATGTTCTATTTTTTTTCCTCTCCATTTCTTTCCAAACACTTACCAATTAATTCTCACACAACAATCCACTTAACACTCAATACTAAATGTCTAAAATACCCTTTACTCTATTTTCCCCGAAAACTCTCCAAATCGGTAAAATAGCACAATATTGAAATTAAACATATCAACACATAAATTTCACAATTAAAATACCAATTATCCAAATGAATTAAAAAGGACTCAACAAAAATGGGAAATTCAGAATTTGGGGCGTTACAACTCTCCCTCACTTTAGAAATTTTAGTCCTCGAAAGTATTACCTTATGCAAACAACTCTGGATGTGACTCTCGCATCTTGTTCTCTAATTCCCAAGTCATATTGCCCTCTGCAGCACCTCCCTAGGCTACTTTCACAAGTGCAATATCCTTGCCCCTTAGCTTCTTAACTTCACGATCCAAAATACTAATCGGTAAAACCTCAACCGTAAGGTTATCTCTTACTTCAACTTCGTCCATAGGAATAACATGTGACGGATCCGGAACATACTTCCGAAGTTGCGAAACATGGAACACATCATGCAAATTCGAAAGGTTCGGAGGCAACGCCACACGATACGCCACAACACCCACACGTGCAATAATCTGATACGGACCAATAAAACGAGAAGTCAACTTTTTCGACTTCAAGGCACGACCCACTCCCGTAACCGGTGTAACTCTTAAAAAGACATGGTCGCCTTCTTGAAACTCAAGGTCCTTCCTCCTCTTATCATGGTAACTCTTCTGCCTACTCTGAGAAGCTCTCATCTTTTCCCGAATAAACTTCACCTTTTCCGTCGTTTGTTGTACCATCTCCGGTCCAACTACCGACCTCTCACCCGTCTCATGCCAACACAAAGGTGTTCGACATCTCCGACCGTATAAAGCCTCGAATGGTGCCATACCAATGCTCGAATGAAAACTGTTATTATAAGTGAATTCAATCAACGCCAAATAACCATCCCAAGCATCACCTTGTTCCAGCACACAAGCGCGCAACAAATCTTCTAACGACTGAATTGTCCTCTCGGTTTGACCGTCGGTCTGCGGATGGTAAGCCAAACTCAACCTCAACTTAGAACCCAAGGCACCTTGCAAACTTTCCCAAAATCTTGAAGTGAATCTAGGATCTCTATCTGACACAATACTCTTAGGAACTCCGTGCAAATTTACAACCACACGAATATAAATCTCGGCCAATTTCTCCAAAGGATAACTAATATCAATCGGAATGAAGTGAGCAGATTTAGTAAGTCTATCAACGATCACCCAAATAGCATTATGACTTCTTTGCGTATTCGGCAATCCCGTAACAAAATCCATCGATATGCTATCCCATTTCCATTCCGGAATATCCAACGGTTGCATCAATCCACTAGGTTTCTGATGTTCCACCTTCGACTTTTGACACGTCAAACACGAATACACAAAATAAGCAACATCTCCCTTTAGTCCGGACCACCAAAAGACCTTCTTCAAATCTTGGTACATCTTATTCGCTCCCGGATGAATACTCAAGTTACTCCGATGACCTTCTTCCAATATCATCTTCTTCAACTCCACATCGTCGGAAATGCAAATACGACCACGGAATCTCAAAACACCAAATTCATCAACCTTGAAATCTTCATTCTCATTCATCATCAAATCAACGAACTTTAAATCCAATTTTTGTTTTTCACAAACGGTCGCAAGAAAATCATTCGTAATATGAAGCATACCAAGTCTCACACTTCTCGGCGTCACTTCACAAACCAAACTCAAATCTCTAAAACTCTCCAACAATTCCCATTCTCTTATCATCAACGTTGACATATGAACCAACTTTCGACTTAAAGCATCGGCTACTACATTTGCCTTACCCGGATGGTAATTCAAACCAAAATCGTAGTCTTTCAAAAACTCTAGCCATCTCCTTTGTCTCATGTTCAACTCTTTCTGGTCAAATAAATATTTCAAACTCTTGTGGTCGCTAAAAACCTCAAATCTTGCACCATAAAGATAATGCCTCCATATTTTCAAAACGAACACCACGGCTGCTA